AAGCGCGGGGAGGCCTGGCGAGCAAGGGAAAGCGAGCAGCCCGCCGCCCTGGGGCGGCTCGGCGTGGAGGTGGCCGCTCTCCTCGGAGCTAGCTGGTCAGCATGGACAGGGCAAGTGAGAGGACTGGGTGTGTAACTGTGAAATGTCCAGGAAGGGGAGCAAGGTTAGAGTCACAATGATGTAAAAGAGAGTAAAAAGTACAGAGAAATCTATGGTCATGCCATGGGGAGGACTGTGTAGACTCTAAGATGGTTTTCAAGTTCTCAAAACAGAATTTCCATGGGGTTTTCTGCGAAGCAGTCAGATTAAAAAGTAACTGTTCAAACCCCCAGCTGCTTTGTTGCAATCTTGAAAGCACTGGCTAGGCTAGCAGGCAGGGCAGGAGGCCGGCGATCCAGTGCCGCTTGCCCAGGGCAGACTGGCACATCTCTAGTCCCAAACCAGCGTGGTGTCTGCTTCCTTAAGTAGGCTCCAGGAAAGTGTGTTTTCGTCTCAAGAGGCTGCTTCTTGTGATAACCAACGCCTGTTTAAAAGGCCAAGAAATCTTTGTACTGATTATACCTTATCACGTGGAAAGCCAAGGGCGCTAATATGCACCTCTTGCAGTAATTCACCTTCTTAAGTGTGTGCAAACAATACAGAGACTTTGTGAAGTATTCAGTTTACTCCTCAATCTGGAATCACTACAGGGAATTTATTGCTTCCGCAACACGTGTGGTTTGGGATATGCAGTATGAAAGAAGGAGTCAGGCTTTTGGAGTCAGGCTCCCTCTTTAAACTAGGAGCAGAAATAGGATGTTTTTACCCCTTAACAGTATAAATGATGTTTTGTGACAGTGAAAAGGAAATGTTTCTGTCAGAAGGTTTAGGGATGGGGTCAGAAAGGACTTATGAATTGTCCTTTGGGATGAAATCCAGTATGGTCACAGACTGAATTAACCTCTTGGTGACACAATGCCTTGCAGTGCTGTGCAGCCGGTGTTTGCTGTGTGGCCCTTGAAGCTCTTGATGATGCTTCAGTCACTGAAACGGGCCACTCCTGTAATGTGAGATACCGTGATTAGGAATTTGGAGAAACTGAGCTCAGCATTAATTTTAAGAATTGGCATAGCGATTCCTTTTATTTGTACTCAGAATTCTCTTTTAAATAATTTCTGAACAGCTGGGCCTAATCTAGGTTTTTCATGAGCAGTCGGGTGAGGGAAGCTCAACTGCTTTTCTGTGTAAAGCAAAAGCATTAGGGAATGGTGGAACTGAAAGTTGCTTTAGAATTAGAGCGTGCAGTAGCGAGAAACACTTTTCCATTACTTGCTGTAGCGTAATGAGCGTCATGAAACTAGTAGATTTGAAGACTGCTTTGTACAAGACACTGTTCAGACAGGAGGTAGAAATTGTCTTTCAGACCTTAAAGCCTATTTATGCAAGACAAACAAAGGACTTCCCTTCCTCCCCCAAAAGAATAGATTTGAAGTGCTTTAATTGTGTCACAGTAAGGTAAACTAGAGCCAAAAATACTGCTCAGGTTTTCTAAATCCTAGCCTGGTCTACTAGGCACTCAGCCAAACTACCTTCCTGCTACTACAGAACTTAATTCTCCCTTCACCCTGGGTATAAGTATTATTATGTTCTGTCTGTGCGGAGTGGAGCACTTGTCATAGCCATAATGCAGCACAATATGACAAGTGTTTCTTAAATGACGTGAAGGTTTGGCTGCAGGTAGTCCTCTTCTCATGCAACCCTTTCTATTGTAAGATCACAGGGGAAATCTCTGGGTGCACGTGCAGGTTGGCTACCAGGCACTGGTTAGAGCA